CATTTTTGAGAAAATGGCTGACAAATAACTGCATCGGTTGTTCTTTCAAGTAAAAATAGCATTCCGTGAAAAAGCAGCTAGCTTACAACTTGATCTCACAAGTGCTTTTCCCTAGGAATAGTCGTCATACTGGTATTCAGGAGAAATGCCTTATGTGTGGTTCCTTTTTTTTTTTAAAGTAAATTTATTTTATTTATTTATTTATTTATTTTGGCTGCATTGGGTCTTTGTTGCTGCACTCGGGCTTTCTCTAGTTGCGGTGAGCTGGGGCTACTCTTCGTTGCGGTGCACGGGCTTCTCGTTGTGGTGGCTTCTCTTGCTGTGGAGCACAGGCTCTAGGCACGCGGGCTTCAGTAGTTGTGGTGCGTGGGCTCAGTAGTTGTGGCTCACGGGCTTAGGTGCTCCGCGGCATGTGGGATCTTCCCAGACCAGGGCTCGAACCCGTGTCCCCTGCATCAGCAGGCAGATTCTTAACCACTGTGCCACCAGGGAAGTCCTGTGGTTCCGTTTTTGTCACACAAAGTATGTGTATTCCAGGGTTGAGATTTAATACTGTTAACAATTTCTATTGCTTTATCACTTTCCAAAGTGAAGCTGTCGTTTTCTTTCTAACTGCTAGTGAATGGTGATGAAGATTACCAATATTTGTTCATTTAGTTTGGTGCCACTGCATTGATTTGTGTTGAATTTTGCTACCTGTTGACGTTTTCTTTTGGTTTTGTTCTGTTTTTAGTTTTATGGAGATGTAATTCACATATCATAAAATTTACCCACAGTGTACAATTTTGTACTTTTTAGTATATTCACAGAGTTGTGTAATGATGATCACAGTCAACTTTAGAACATCTTCATCGCCTTCACCCTGAAAAATCTGTACCCATTAGGAGTCATTCCCATTTTCCTGAACCCTCCCCAGCCCCTGGCAACCACTAACATACTTTCTGTCTCTTATGTATTGGTCTAGTCATTTCATAGGAATGGAATCCTATAATAGGTGACCTTCTGTCCTTAGCTTCTTTCATGTCCCATAATGTCTGCAAGATTCGTCCATGCTGGAGCACGTATCTGTTCCTGATTGCTTTTCATGGATAGATGACACCCCATTTTGTTTAGCTAAATGCCAGTGCATGAACCTTTGGATTTTTTCCCCAGTTATTAACTATAGTTAATATTTCTGCTCTGAACGTTCATATACATGTTTTTATGTGGACATATTTTTCATGTCTCTTGTGCTCATACCTGGGAGTGGAGTTGCTGGGTTATATGGTGACTCTGTTTCACATTTTGAGGAACTTCCAGATGGTTTTCTAGAGTGGCTGCACCATTTTACATTTCCACCTGCAGTGTTTGAAGGTTCCACTCTGCATTCTCACCCACACTTGCCTTTATGCATCTTTGTGAACGTAGCCGTCCTAGGGGATGTGAAGTGGTATTTCATGGTCATGTTGGTTTGCATTACCCTGATGGCTGATCCACCTTTAGCCATTACCATCACTGAAATGTTAACACAGTAAAAAAGGTAAATACTCTTAGGATAATTAAGAAAGTACTTTTGACCTAGGGGATCCCCTGAAAGGGTCTGTGGGTCCCCCATGGGTCAGGTCGCTCGTTAAGCTGGTAGAACAACGAGGGCTGTGGTTTCAGCATCATATTTTTCCTTGCTTGGCCAGGACGTTGGCACTGCCTGTGTTTTCCCATGAAATGGGTATTGGGAGGCAGTGGTAGGCCGCCGGGTCGAGTAGGAGGTTATGGTGAGTCGGCTTAGGCCTGCCCTTGGGCTGTATTGAAGCCCATTCTTCTACTGCATCTGCGGGGAGGGTGGGAGGCCAGAAGAAGAGCTCTGGCCACAATCTGCATGTAATAACCTGAGACGGTCCCTTTAAAGAGGCAGCAGCAGTAAGGTCTCCCCAGTGCCGAGTGCCTGCCGAACCCAGACAGGGCACTGCACACTCTCCACGTAGGAGTGTGTGGTTCTCAGCCTTAGAGAGAAAACTGAGGATTTACACAGCTTGCCCAGGTGCAGGCAGTAGGGCTGGGAATTGAGGCACTCATACAAGCTTGTGAAAGGGAACCAACCCCCAGAATAAATTTTTTTTGTAACCAAACAAAGAAGTAAGTAATTCTAGTATTAGCACACTGCTCATCTTGGTGGCAGTAGCAAAGGTCAGGAAAGTATGGAGTATTTAAGATTAAAAATAAAAAGATGAAACTTCCTGTGCTTTGTTTCAATAAAGGAGCTATGTTCACTGCCTGAGAAAATTGGTGAACGGTCAAGAATTGCCTAGATTCATGTTCCTTGGCTTGATTTTTAATCACGTTGAAGTATGACTTCTTATGGATGTTGCTTCTAATTTGTCTGGAAGGCGAGTGCAGATAGCGCCAGCTTGGGTATGATGAATGGATTCTGACAACGTGTAGTTAGTTACACTTAGAATAAATGCCAACCATTTGAAGCGCTCCGTTTTTCTGTAACAAAGTAACCAGCAGAGCCTTGCACAACACGGGATCATATACCGTATTTTGCTGTGGCGTGGTCTTTACGTCCGTATTGAACATCTATTTAGAGTGTGTCATCACTGGGGCTGCGAGCAGCTTTAGAGATCAGGGCTCACAGCCCATCCAGATATGGAAAACGTGAATCTGTGCGTTACACCACATACGGTGTAATAACAGGTGCACTAAAGAAGCAAATCTAAGCGATCGAGTCAGAAACAATTAGGGGGAAACTTAGAGGAATGTCATACCATCTGAAAATATGTTCGGATATTTTTTCTTCTTCTTGCGGGGTGCTGCTGGCTGCGTGTAAGAAAGTCCCCACCTCTGACCAGCTTCATGGGAGAACTTTCGAAGCTAAGAAACTTAAAAAGTGGGTTAGCGGATTTAGCAACATAACAGATGGAAAAGCAAAAAAGAGGAAAATATTTGCAATCTACAAGGCATAAATGTAATTTAAAGGCCACTTAGACAAATGGGGGGACAAAGAAAGCATTGATGGCACTGGGGAGGGCGTCCTTGGAAGACATACGTTATTGTCTGATGGACCAGTGGGAGAGGGGGTTTGCCTTCTGAGTCTTTAAGCTTCAGGAAGAGGTTTCAACTCAAAGGAGGCGGAAGTTTTTCTTTACAGCTGCCTGGTCCTGTGGTGACTTCTGCCTGGCATTCTGCAAGGCCTGGTTGTGGGGTGGGTAACCTTGGAGTGGAGGTACCCAGTGGGTGGGTGGGCACAGTGACCTTTTAAGGCTCCTTCTGTCAGGAAATACTCCAGGAGCCTTTTTTTTTTTTTTTGCAGTACGCAGGCCTCTCACTGCTGTGGCCTCTCCCGTTACGGAGAACAGGCTCCGGACGCGCAGGCTCAGCGGCCACGGCTCACAGGCGCAGCCACTCCACAGCATGTGGGATACTCCCGGACCGGGGCATGAGCCCGTGTCCCCTGCATCGGCAGGCAGACTCTCAACCACTGCGCCACCGGGGAAGCCCCAGGAGCCTTTTTAAAATGACAGCCGCAAGGGCTCACTGGCTTCCCTGGCTGTTCCGCGTGGAGCTCGTGGGGCCGGGCAGCCAAGCATGGGGCATCCTTCCTCCTTCCCTGGAGAAATAGGCCACCTGCCCAGGGGGTTTGGGATGCGGGTGTGGGGGGACCTACGGGAACCAGAGAAGCAGATGTGAAGGGCCTGTAGATGCCGTGGAGGAGTGCCGGGCCCACCAGGTCTTTCCTGGAGTGCGAGTCCCGGCTGTGAACCGAGGAGAAACCTCAGGGCAGCAACGTGATGAAGTTTACTGTAAGGACCCTGAGCATCGCTGTTCTCTTCTCAACTCCCTGAAGCGGGTTCGGGGGTGTGCAGCAGGCACACAGGGAACCAGCACTGAGCGCAACCTGGGGACCAGGAGGGTGGGCCTGGGAGGCAGCAGGGCCTGGGCTCGGCACTCGCCTTCCATTGGCGTCCTCTGTAAAATGGGCGTGAGGACAAGGTCCAGTCCCTTTGGGTTCAGAGGCTGTGACTTCCTCGCCTGACCGTGGCCCCTGGGCTGTCGGCAAACACTTAATACTTGTATGTGTGTTGTGACTCCTGGGGTAGAAACGGGTCCGGCTCAGAGCGCCTGTGCCTCTCTGTCCCTCTTCTCTGGTCACTGAGGGCTCAGGTGAAGCAGCTGTGTCCTGACCCATATCCGTCGGCAGATCTGCAGCCTTAAATGCATTACTTTAAACTGAAGAATATGTTCTTTTTTAGGATCCCCTGTATCTTTATACATGAGGTGGTCCTGTTCGTGGAATGTGACTGTTGGTTTCTTTTTTTTTTTTCCTATTAATTAATTTATTTTTGTCTGCGTTGTGTCTTCGTTGCTGCGCGCGGGCTTTCTCTAGTTGCGGCGAGTGGAGGCTACTCTTCATTGCGGTGCACGGGCTTCTCATTGCGGTGGCTTCTCTTGTTGCGGAGCATGGGCTCTAGGTGCATGGGCTTCAGTAGTTGTGGCGCGTGGGCTCATTAGTTGCTGTGCACGGGCTCAGTAGTTGTGGTTCGCAGGCTCTAGAGCGCAGGCTCAGTAGTTGTGGCACACGGGCTTAGTTGCTCCGCAGCATGTGGGATCTTCCCGGACCAGGGCTCAAACCCGTGTCCCCTGCATTGGCAGGTGGATTCTTAACCACTGCACCACCAGGGAAGTCCCTGTAGGGATTTTTTTTTTTTTTTTTTTTTTTGGTAGGGATTTTTTAAAATGGATTTTTCAGTGGTTTCAACCAAAGCAGATAGTTCCTAGGATGTGTTTATAACAAAAAGTTATAAAAAAGTTATATTTTTTGGTCTCTCTGTGTTTAGGATTATTCCTGTCCTTCGTGGTGGTTGTTTTGACTTGAGGTTGGGTCTTGAGAGCGTGTGAGATGTGATGTTTGTCCAGAATGTTTTCCTTTTCTTTCTCTTTTTGTCTTTGGGGGATTTAGGGTACCTGGCAGCAGGCAGCATCCTCTGTAGTGACTTTGTTCTTTCTCTCTCCTTACTTTCCAGTTTTCAATGGTTCCAGCAGGTCATCACGGGAGAAGGAACCTGTTCAGAAACACAAAAGCAAAGAGGCCACTCCGGCGAAGGAGAAGCACAGTGATCCCCGGGCCGACGGCCGGAGGGAGCAGGCTTCCACGAGCCACCCCCCAGCGGCCCCCTCCGCGGGCTCCTCTGCCAGGGGGCTCCCCGCTCACCACCACCCCCCTCTGCATCGGTCGGCTCAGGACTTACGGAAACAGGTAAAGCCCAGCCCTGCCGCCAGGGGATCATGGTCTGGCCCGGAGGGTGCCGGCCTTCCTGCCAGATGCCACCGCCGCGTTTCATCAAGTTAACTGAAGGGGGAATGTGAGTAGTAGCCTTGAGAGATCCATCTTTCCGGAGCTCAGAAGGCAGGAAGGGATGCTCAGAAGTGAGGGGGTGACCTGGGCACAGAGGTGCCAGTGCACATGCCTCTCCTACCATGAGGGTGGATTAGGCGGGGCCGTTGGTGGGTTTGCATCCCTCCCTGGAGGGCGCTGCCAGCACCCAGTGCCACCAGCAGTGGACCCTCGCTTGCTGGGATGCCCTAGAAGGGTAGGGAGGGAACACTCCTTCGTTACCCCTCCCCTGCCCCAGCGCCCCGGGCACCAGGTGAGGCAAGGAGTCCTCAGGTGAGGCCGGGAGCCACAAGTTACCTTGGAACAGGCCTGCACATGGCCTGGAGTGTCCCCTGTGCTTCTTGACGGACACGTTGGTGGCTCGGACACGTTGGTGGCTCGCGGCAGGACTTCTGATAGGCCTCCAGGCGGTGATGAGACAGGTGCAGCCGCGGGGGACACTTACTCCGTCCTGCGCCCTCAGGGTTAGCGGAGGCTGCACACGCTCTGCGCCACCCCCACCCCCACCCCCGCCAAACGCCCCGACTTCGGGGTCACATCCAGAATGCAGATCCTTTGTGGGTGCCTCTCCCTGCCCTTGGACAGAGTTCTCAGCACCTGGGAGGGGGTGTGGAGCTCGGTGAGGCTCTCACCCGGGTCCAGTGGCGTTTCGTTACGTGCTCTGCTCCTGTTCTCACTCCATCTGAGAGTGGGTAAGCCATGGGGATCAGAGATGCGCTCTCCACACTGGGAATTCTGTCACATACAGTTAAAACTTTCCTTAGAATAGACTGAGGACTCTAATCTGGAAAGATTGATTGATTCTGGGCGAGGCGCGAGTGGCCTAGAGATTCCCTGATGCGCACCATTGTGGAGAGAACTAATAGATAGATAGATGGTCATTGTGGTGTGAAGGTTGGAATTCCTTCTGTTGAATTGCTCTTTCTCCATGGTCTTTCTCATTCTTGATGATGTTGGGGACCATTGTCTCTGAATATGTAGCTGTATGCATGCACATCCATAGGATTGTGTGTATGCACACGTAGTATTAGTCTTAACCTTTAGCTTTCAAATATCACTCAGTCCTCCAGCTGGAGTGGACGAGGCAAGAATCCTCCTGTTTAATGTTTCTACGGTCCTCAGGTTGCCACTTAGTGCTTCTGAAGTGTCATCTTGAGATTAAACAGGTGGTTTTTGCATATTTTAAACGTTGCCCACTGTTCCTGAAACACAAACCTCACGGTTTTCCTCACAAGAGCACCTGAGCGTGATTGTGGAATTGGCCGCCCCTGAGCTGGGTACCCGGTTTTCAGGACATAAAGTACAGGAGGCAGCATTCCTTTGGTGTCTTGAGTCCCCATTCCATTTCCAAAGCTGTTGGCCGGACAGGCCTTTGTGCAGAACTTTCCTCCAGATCTTTGCTTATGAAAGAGAACAATTCAGAAGGGGGTCTAGAGAGGGAGGGGATCCATCTGTGGAGCAGGAATCTCAGTGAGGAATGAATGTGTGACTTTATTCACATAGAACCATAATCTCTCTCTCTCTCTCTTTTACACGTGAGGCTGGATTGAGTAAACCCCTATCTCAGTCGGTCCAAGCTCATCCTCAGCCCCCAGCGCTTGCCCCTCAGTTCAGGATTTCCCTTTGTAACTGAACAAGAGGAGTTCTCGCAGTTAGAGGTGAGAGTTGAGGGGAGTAGAGGTACCCCTTCCCTGGGATGGGCCCATCCCCTTGACCCACAGCAGGCTCACGCGGCCCCTTTTACACGCAGTGAAGAAGATGGAGGGGAGACCTGGGTGGCAGGGCAGACTGTCATCTGAGTGACTGTAGGAGCCTGGCTGGCTTTCTGGGTTCAGGTCTTGCAGGTGGGGTGTAACCATCCCCATCCCACCCCCTCCTGCCTGCCCTCCCTCCCCTGTCTAATCCAGCCGGGTGGGATGACCCAGGACTCCCAGGTCTAGTTGGGCTCTGACCACGACCTTCACCCGAGACTTAAGCTGTAATAGTTAACCTTCCTGAGCCTTATTGTTCATTTGGAGCCAATGATGCCAACCCTTCTCCCAGGGACATTGTGAGAAATGAAAGGATAATTTTGATACCATCAAATCCCATTAGTTAAGTACTCTAAGAAAAAAGACCAATAGAAGCCCATTGTAGATTCCTTTGTAATGGCCTGATGCAAGTGATTAGAATCTGACCTTTCATCTTTTCAACTGCATAAAAGATGGGAGGCCCAGAGAATACTCGGATCTGTAATGTCAGATATGATTAATTTTTTTCTGTCGGCCTGAAAGAAAAGATCAGTGATTGTACGAAGTACAGCTGCCAGGGTGGAGGGATGCCCTATGTAGGGGTGCTGCTGAGAAGTGACCATGCCCTGCTGGCCCCAGTGCACCGAGAGCTCACTCTTCTTGCTGGGACCTTGCCTCTCACGGTGCTGGGTGGGGTGCTCAGCTTCATAAAAGCCCCGGCCTTTGAGACTCAGAGCATGAGAACTCAGTGTGAGGGGCCTCCCTAATCCTCCAGCTTTTATTCTCCCAAAGGCTCCAGGTGTGCCAGGTGACACCCACACATGGGTAGCAGCCCTGCAACTGCCCTGGGTGATGATTTGGATGTGTGGTAGGTGTCGAGTGCTTCCTTAGAACAGTACATACGTAATGTGCAGTAAAAATAACAAATTGAGGATGGAGAAACAACCATTCTTACACCTAGAGAGGGTGTGGAGATGTTTTCCAAGCGTGTCGTGAAGAGGCTTTTGCAGACAACTGTGTGTGGTTGGTAAGCCAGGATGTGGAAGACGTGGGTGGTGAGGCTGCCCCCGGCTGGCACACCTCCTATTCTCATCTGTTGCGCTGAGGCTGAGCCGTAACGTGAGGGAGAAAACCACCAGCTTGTGTGGCAGGGCAGACACACCCGGCGGAGGGTCTGCTGGGCTGTGGCACCTTTGAGGAGAGGTTTTCACACTCAAATGTATGGCAGCTGGAAAAAGTCTTGGTCTAGTCGGATGGAGAGAGGAGGCCGAGCTGTTCAGACCGAAGAGTGAGGCGTATTCTTTAACCTTCTGGAAAATGAAAAATGGGCATCCAGAGAGAAATGGAGAGACTCGCCTCAGCTAGAAGAATGTGGAAGGTCTGACCGTGCTCTTCATCAGGTCTTGCGGGGAGTTTGAACTGCGCCTCTGTCACGTGGTGCTTGTGACTGGGTCAGGTGGCCTGCAGAGGGGAGGGGGCAGGTGCTTTGGGAAGGTTCGGGGCTCCGACCAGGACCAGGTGTTCCTTTCGGAGAGCAGGGCTGCGTCAGCCGTGTGCCTCTGCTCACTAACTTCCAGGTGCCCGCCACACCAGCAGGCCTGCCTTCCCTGTCCGTAACTCGCTGCCTGTCCAGTGGACTCTGTTCATTTAGGCTCTTTTGCTATTTAATTTGAATTTTAAAGTCCAAATACACTGTCCCCAACCAATAGTGTTTCTCTTGGGCACCTTTGCTGCTGCTCTGAGAGGATGGGCAGAGCCACTCGACTCAATGACTCCCTCTAGTGGGAAATGGGAGTTTGGTAGTTGACTTTCTGGTTGAACTGAGGACCGCTTCATGTCTGTGCGACAGGGGTAACCTGAGCTACAGGTGCCGGGTGGGCGGTGGTGGGTCAAGACACCCCACTTCCTGCAGAGCTGGGTGACAGCTTTGGGGTGCAACGTCAGAAGCCCACACCTGAGCTGAGAAGGAACACCTTGAAGAGACGTTAAGTTATTCAGCTGAAGGGCCTTTATTGCCCCCCAGAGGGCTCTGCCTCCTGCCTCCCGCCTCCCGCCTCCCGCCTCCTGCGTGTTGATTCTCCAGTGAATTACAGTGACCCCTCTCCCCGTGTCAGCACTTCCTCCAGATGTGTAGAGTTGAGAGCAGGCCCGTGTGGTGGGCTGGCCAGGTGACCTGGGCGCGTGTTGAGGTGAAACAGTGTTGGGCTCTATTCCATGGTGGAATAGAGCGGTGGCTGGGGAGACGCCCAGTGTGAAGGTGAGACAGTGCCTCGGTCCATAGCTGTGTCTCCTTGGTACCAATTACTCATTGGACCCTGGAGGCAAGCACAGGCCAATGACTAGGCGTCTGTGTTTATAGAAATAGGTAAATAAGAAGACGATCTTTTTGCCATTGAAGATGGTGAAATAGTTATGCAGAATTCCACCATGTGAAAATTTGGAATTTCCTGTACGACAGTGAGGCAGGAGATCAGGTGGCCCCGAGAAGCCGGACTGGATTGACTCGGGGCCCTGCGCCGTTCCTCCAGGTAGAATCTGGGAGAGTGGAAGCCTGGCTTCCCGGCCTCCTGCAGGTGCACAGCCGTGTCGGGGGAGCGCAGAGCTGTCGGGGACTTGCACACACTGAGCCCCTTTCTCCATCCTCACCGGTTAGGTCAGAATCTGGATGGGGGAGGGCTTTAGACTGGAATCAGCATTATTTTCAAGCTCCCCAGGGGTTCTCTGGGCTCCCGGGTTTGGGAGGCACTGAACCTAAACCTCAGCAAGACATGACGGCTGGCGGTGGGCTCTGCCGGCAGGAGCTGGTTGGTGGTGTCCACTGTGCAGTGGTTGCCGTTTCTGCTGGCGATCCTTATCTTCAAGAAGGGATTAACGGTGCCCTGCGTCTGCTTATGTGTAAGTTGGGTGAGAGTCGGAGCAGCCCCCACAGAATGAGGGCTTCGAGGGGTGTCTTCTCTGAAGATGCAGATCCCTGAGCATCTTGCTGATGGAAAACTCTTTCTGTGAGCCTCTGCAGGGTTTTACTGTTTCCTTTAGTTTTTCTAAATGGTTTGTTTTGTTTTTAGTCAATGGATATTTGCATTCCTCACTGTACATCCTATTCCAAATTAGTGGTACTTATCATGGAAATTTTGTCTTTGCCCCTGCCCCTGGTTTTATAAATTTGTTTTTAATTTATTGTTGCCAAGCTGCTAGTTCTGTTCTGGTTTTGTTTTAAAATTTCCTGTTACGTATTCTAGACCACCTGCTCATTCTGAGTCCTGCTTCATTCTCAAGTGGCCGGCAGGGTGCATCCAGGCCGTAGTTCCTGGGCCTTCTCTTTGGCCTCTCCCTCCCCAGTGGGGTCTGGGACCTCACTGAGCCCAGAAGTCGAGGCTGGCTCCCCAGAAACCTGGTTACCAAACGCCCCGGGTTTGGCTCATGGAACACAATCTCACACCAAGAATTCATGGCTTTCATTGGACCGCGTGTAATTGGCGAGTGAAGAAACACAGGTCCGGGGGCTTCTCTCCTTTCTCTGTTTTCATAACCTTCTGTTAGTAGTCTGCTGCCGTGGCTCCCAGAGTAGGTCCTTGGGTGAGGCTCAGCATCACCTGAACCTCATTAGAAATGCAGATTCTCGGGCTGCATCCCAGACCTACTGGATGGGAGACTCTGGGGATGGGGCCCAGCGACCTGGGCTGGGCCTGGGCCTAGTGCAGAGGTCGTTGAGACTCGGGCCCCCCTCCAGGACCTGGTCCCGGGGTGGGTGCGTCGGGCGTGGACAGGACAGGCCTGAACGCTTTAGGTGCCACGTGGCTTCCCCAGCTGGGGAGCCCAGGTCCTCCTCTTGGTCACCTTCTTCTCTGGGCCCATTGGTGAGAAAAGGCAGCTGTTGTTTCTGCTCTGTTTCCTGGTGAGCGTGTATAATGTTTAGTCTGCCTTTTGGGGAGGTGGTGTTGCTCAGGTAACCCTGGCATCCCTGGTTGCATGTGAAAACTCGATGCCCAGGATGGTAAATGACATGTCAGAGGCCACTGAGAGGCAGAGCTGTGACGTGGTGTCTGCACCGGAGCAGCGCAGCATCAGCTCCTGCGCTGGGCCCGTTGTCATCCTTTGGAAATCAGTGCTTTTCTGGTGTCCACCCTTGTCACTCGCTGGCTTCTTTTTATACATGAGGGTGACCTTTGTGTGTCACAAGATTACTGTGGTGTCCAAGCTGTAAGATGGCTGTGAAGAGAGGCTGATTGGTCACCAAATTCCCGTAGGACCGAATGTGGACGCTTGTAGGGGCGGGAAATGGGAGCCGTCTGTGCAGAAGGGGTCGAGCCTGTTTTGCTTCATCAGAGAGGCGAGGTGCATCCAGTGAGGTGCCCTGGGGCCCGTCTCACGGTGACTGATTGGCTGACGCCCACGGCTGACGGCTACACCTCTGGGCGTGGCGCGGGACCAGCACCTGAGCCACGTGAGCGCTCTTATTCCTTTGTTTCCATGGCATTTTTGTTTTGTTTTTTACTCACTGAGCATGGATTGTAAAATTCTGCGGGCAGATCACGCTGCTGTGGGAGCACAGGAAGAACTGCAGCCACGTCTTTTCTTGGCACAGGCGTGTGTCTGTGTGTCTGCCCCCTTACCAGCAAGACCTTGCTGTCGGGTGTTGTTATTAACTTGTGGCAGGTGATTGGCAGGCACGTGGAGGGTCCTCACTGGGAAACATCTAGTTTCAAACGGCAAACGTGCATCTTACAGCACACCCAGGAGACCCCCTGGGCAGCACCCAGGTTGGCTGAGTGTTTTTGCGCGGAAGGATGGGCCCCTAGTCCTGCGGAGATCCTGAGACCGAGTATCTCAGAGCTGGCTTCGGGGCTGTGTGTTTTGCCTGCCTTGCCTCCCAGAAGCGGGCGCCGGCTGCTGAGTCCGGGCGTGGGGCGGTCCCTGCTGACAGGTGCTAACTCCCCTTCTCCCCCTCTGCTCCTCCCAGGTTTCTAAGGTCGGCGGAGTCACTCGAATGTCATCTCTGGGTACCAGTGCAGCCAGTGCCAAAAAGATGCGCGAAGTCAGACCTTCACCGTCCAAAACTGTGAAGTACACTGCAACGGTGACGAAGGGGACTGTCACATACACCAAAGCCAAGAGGGAACTGGTCAAGGAAACCAAACCTAATCACCACAAGCCCAGTTCAGCTGTCAACCACACAATCTCAGGGAAAACTGAAAGTAGCAATGCAAAAACCCGAAAACAGGTGCTATCCCTCGGGGGGGCGTCCAAGTCCACCGGGCACACCGTCAATGGCCTCAAGGTCAGTGGCAGGTTGAACCCAAAGTCATGCACTAAGGAGGGCGGGGGGCGGCAGCTGAGGGAGGGTCTGCGGAACTCCAAGCGGAGGCTGGAAGAGGCGCCCCCGGGCGACAAGCCGCAGTCGCCCCCCAAGAAGATGAAGGGGGAGGCGGGTGCTGCGGAGGGTCCCGGCAGGAAGGCGGCCCCGGCCCCCGCGGAGAAGGTGCCGCCTGGCGGCCACGGGAAGAAGGAGGTGCCCGAGCGGAGCCTGGAGAGGAACCGGCCGAAGCGGGTGTCGGCCGGCAAGGGCCCGCCGGGCAGACAAGCACACGGCAAGCCGGACGGCGCCCCCTGTGAAAATCGTTCTACCTCGCAATCGGAGCCCCTGCCCCGGCCGCACGAGGCGACGGCCAAGGCCGAGAAGGGGGCCGGCAGGGCCGGGTGGGCGGCCATGGACGAGATCCCCGTCTTGCGGCCGTCGGCCAAGGAGTTCCACGACCCGCTCGTCTACATCGAGTCGGTGCGCCCTCAGGTGGAGAAGTACGGCATGTGCAGGGTGATCCCGCCCCCGGACTGGCGGCCCGAGTGCAAGCTCAACGACGAGATGCGCTTCGTCACGCAGATCCAGCACATCCACAAGCTGGGTCGGCGCTGGGGCCCCAACGTGCAGCGGCTGGCCTGCATCAAGAAGCACCTCAGATCTCAGGGCATCACCATGGACGAGCTCCCACTCATAGGTAAGGCCCCCCGCCCCATCCCATGGTGTCTGCCCCAGCTTAAGCTTCTCCAGGCCCTTCTTGGCCCGGGAGGAGTCTGAGGCCCCCCTTTCTGCAGGTGCGGGGTGCTCAGGACAGGAGGAGGGCTGGTCCTGTGACCCCCGCTCTCACACTCGGCAACCCCTGCTGCCCTGAGCTGCGGGCCGCCTTGCTGAGGCCAGAGTAGTGTCCGGCGAGAGGGGCAGGAACGCTGCCCCCATGCATTTGTCTGCTGGGGGCTGCCTTACCTGAGTTCTGCAGGCTGGGAGGCTTGACCTACAGGAAGTTATTTCACAGTCTGGAGGCTGGAAATCTGAAAGCAAGGTGTTGGCCGGGTTGGTTTCTCCTGAGGCCTCTCCCCTTGGCTCGTGGACGGCCGCCTTCTCCTGTGTCCTCACGTGGTCTTTGGTGTGTGTGCACGTTCTTGAGGTCCCTTCCTCTTGCTATGAGAACACCAGTCATATTGGGTTAGGACCCATCATGGTGACCTCATTTTACTTTAATTACCCCTTTAAAGACCCTGTCTCTAAATACGGTCACACTCTGCAGCCCCGAGGTTAGGACTTCAACATATGACTCTTTGTGGGTGGGGTACATTTCAGCCCATTTATCTCTGTCTGCTTATCTGTCCTTGCATCTCAGTTTTTCTGGTGATGACTGGGCCCTCGTGGAGCCCACAGGTCCGGGAACACTTCTGAGAGCAGGCACAGCTCTGGCTGTCACTGAAGCAGAGCTCTCCTTGGTGACTGCTTTTGTGAACATACACCCAGCTATTGTGAAGACACTTGGCCCCCAGGCAGAGCCCACGGATGGCTCTTGGAAAACGCATTTCCCTCTTCCTCTCCCCTTATTGAGCCTCCAGGATTAACGCACTCTGTCAGGGATGAGCGGTTCTGTGGAGTGGGGTTCCTTTTGGGTCTGCCAGGTGAGTCACGTGCTTCCCTTCTGGCTCTAGACCCTCGACAGGAACAGGGCATGTCCTTCCTCCAGTTGGAGAGGACAACTTTTTAAAGGCAGGGAGCAGAGGAGATATTATCGGTCATTTAGGTGTCAAGAGTTGGCAGTAGGATAGGGTTCCTTGTGAGATGGAGGTTTCGTTATTGCTCTCAGCAGGTGAGAATCACTTAAATTGAAAGAATTCTTGGTTTGTGGTCCACTGTCGGGATGTGGTCGAAGGTGACACAGGGCTGTGGGAACAGGCTGAGGAGGTGCCAGCCTCTCGGGAGCTTGGCGTTGGCTGCGAGGGTGACCAAGAGCCTCACCAAGTCGGGGCTGCAGTGGGACGTCTCGGGTCCCCCAGCCTGCCCGGGGGAGGGGGGGACGGCAGGTCTTCTGGGGACAGGTGGTGTGCTCAGGTGACGTCATGAGGGCAGAGAGCGATCTTCCGTTCAGAGTGGGTTTCCTTAACCTTGACTCCCGTGGCACCAGAAGCCGCGAGGACCTGACACTGTGGTGTGTGTGTTCACACCCGTTGCTGTTACCCCAGCTGTAAAGTGTCGTCAGCTTCCAGAAGAGGAGCTGAGCTGGACCGTTACCCGCAGAGGCCTCGGGCTGTGGCTCTGAGCTCAGTCTCCTTGCAGTGTGAGAGACTTGGGAGTTTTGTGTGTGTGTGTGTGTGGTACGCGGGCCTCTCACTGTTGTGGCCTCTCCTGTTGCGGAGCACAGGCTCCGGATGCGCAGGCTTAGCAGCCGTGGCTCACGGGCCCAGCTGCTCCGTGGCATGTGGGATCTTCCTGGACCGGGGCACGAACCCGTGTCCCCTGCATCAGCAGGCGGACTGCCAACCACTGCACCACCAGGGAAGCCCGAGACTTGGTAGTTTTGAAGGAATTTCCCAGAATCCACAGAGCAGCTGCTCCTTCTCTGGGAAGGCGGCACTTTGTCACGTAGCATCCTCGTGGTCCTGAGAACGGGTTGATGATAGCAGGTGAGGAGTGAAATAATGGATTTGCACGTACTGGGTCAGTTTTCTCCGTGCTGTTGAATAACAGTGATTGCCTCCCTTCTGGTCAGCCTGTGGTCTGAGCCCCTTGGGGTAACTCCCATCCCTCTTCATCTCGGCAAGTCCGGGTGGTGTGCGGGCAGCCCCAGGAGATGCCCCAATTGAGAGCAGGGCCTGGAGTGCATCTTGGAATCTTGGGCTTTAGGCCCCTCCCGGCCAGGGTTGGGGCAAGTTTCCTCCTCGACGTGGCCCCCACTGCACTGACCACAACCAGCGCCAGCGTCCCACCAGCACAGTAGATGGACTCGGGCTGCCGCTCGCCCTTCCCTGGCTGAGGCAGCCCTGAGTTGCCCGGCCGCCAGCGTGCACGTGCTGCTCTCAGGAGTCCCGCTGCTCTTCCGTTCATTTGTCATACATAAACGTATCCCCATCCTTTAAAGAGCTAAATGTTCTCAATGTTTACTTTGCTCACCTACCGTTTTGTGGAGTATTTACCTCCTAACAGCCAGTGGATGGTTATTCTGGAAGATTTTCTTCCCCGTTTATTAGCCAAAGGGAGGTTGATTTTCCAGGTCCCACTGAGAGAGTCACTTGGCGGGCATTCAGACACATCTGAGTTTTGACATGCTTTGTACAGTGTGATCAAGGGGCGTAGTGAAAACGAGCCCATACACCTGGGATAAGCAGCCCTCTGTGTGAGTGGTGATGGGAGGAGCTGAGGGACAGACCACCGCCTGCCCCGAGGTGGGTGCTGCCTGCTGCCCGGAAATCCTGGGGGAGGGGGTTGAAAATAAGTTACTGTGTGTGTGTGCGTGTGCGTGTGCGTGTGCTCTGGGGGTGTGGGGGGGTTGGGAGTGACAACACGTGCTGCGTGTGTACACTTTCCGACATCGCAGCTGTTCCGGGTGACGCTGGCTCGTGGGTATGGCTGGGTGGGGCTGTCTACCCAAGCCTTGCCAGCCCCAGCCGGGATGCCCTGTTCCATCACCCTGCCTCCTGGGGTGTGAGACGTGTGCACCCTGCCCCTGCTCCAGGGGACGCTGGACTCGTCCTCCTCGCGGATCTGCTCTGCCGTCTCTCCTTCCATTCAGCCCTCTGCCTAAGTGTCCTCTCCTCGGGGCTCCCTGCCCTGACCACCCTCCTAAGACGGCCGCCTCTCAGCCTGTCCTGCTCTGTTTATCGTCCTAGTGCCCAAGATGGTCTAAACCCCGTCTCCCTGTAGACTACATTGTTCTGTTTGCTGCTCTGACCCCAGGGCCTGGCGGCATCTCTGGCACGGGGCACCCATGGACTCTTGGGTGATGGAGGATGGTCTTGTTGATGGGCCTTTTCACTGACTGTCCCTGTGTTTTCCTCCCTCACTGTCCCAGGAGGCTGTGAGCTCGACCTGGCCTGCTTTTTCCGGCTGATTAACGAGATGGGCGGCATGCAGCAAGTGACTGACCTCAAAAAATGGAACAAACTAGCAGACATGCTGCGCATCCCCAAAACCGCCCAGGACCGGCTGGCCAAGCTGCAGGAGGCCTACTGCCAGTACCTGCTCTCCTATGACTCCCTGTCCCCCGAGGAGCACCGGCGCCTGGAGAAGGAGGTGCTGATGGAGAAGGAGAGCCTGGAGAGGCGCAAGGGGCCCCTGGAGGGCCACACGGAGCAGGACTACAACCGCTTCCACCCACTGCCCCGCTTCGAGCCCAAGAACGGGCTCATTAACGGCGTGGCCCACAGGAACGGCTTCCGCAGCAAGCTGAAGGAGGTGGGCCCCGCGCAGCTCAAGACGGGGCGGCGGCGACTCTTTGCTCAGGAAAAGGAGGTGGTGAAGGAGGAGGACGACAGAGGCATCCTCAGCGACTTCCACAAGTGCATATACAAGGTAGGGCCCCCGGGCGGGGCCTGGGCGTGGGGCCTCGGGAGCACATGCGGGCCCGGGGTCCGCTGCATCAGGCTCCCGAGACCCGGCAGTCGGCTCTGGCTCCGTTTCTCACAGAGAGGCGCCTGCAGTCTGCAGGGGGCTGGGTGTCCGGTCGAGGTTACTGGGCGCCCAGCCAGGGGAGTCGCTTGCCCGCGTGGCCTTGGGCTTCCTGTCCATTAAATGGGTTTGTGTGCGCACATGTGTGCCCATGTGCCAGGGGTGCAGCCTGGGAGCCACACCCCCTCATCCTGGAGTGGCTGCCCGTCGGGGCCAGGCCCTCTGTAGCTCCTGACGGACACGCCCCCACTGCCACCCAGCCTGCCCAGCTCGGCTCTGCCGGCTCCTTTCTGTCCGCCATCACGGGTCTCCCGGGGAGGCTCCCTGCTTCTGCCGCATCCCGTAACCGCCCAGCCATTCCGAGGAGGCGCCCTCTGGGGAGCGCGGTGGCGTCCTGGCTCTGTGTCTGCAGGGCGGTGGGGACCCGGGCTGGGAGGGGGCACAGACTGGGCACTGCCCCTGCACCGCTCCGGCAGCGATCTGCTCCGTAGGCTCCGGGGTGGGGTGGGCCCCGTGGAGGCCTTGGTGGTCACGCTCCCGCCGCACGAGCCTGGTCTGGAGACGCGTCGGGCACCTGCGGTTCTGCCCTGAGTTTGGCCTCTTCCCTTTGAGTCCCCGCTCCGAGGTCCCACCTCTGGCCACCCTCTGCCTCGCTTCTCATTCTCTCCTAGGCTTGAGTCCTGCCCTCCTTTCTGGAGAGAGATGCCTGCTTGCCTAGAGCTTTTCCTGTCACCGGACCCAGCCAGGGTCGGGTCTCCGCAGCTGTGGCCGCGGTCTGGTGGCCGTGACAGAGCTCCATGGCACCTCTGTGCGCAGAGGGGCCGGGAGCTCGAGGCTGCAGGTTCTGAGCCCCCTCAGCATCTGGGGGCAGTGGCTGTGCTGTGCTGGGTGTCATCGCCTTCATGACAGGCACCTTGCTTCAGTTGACACAAAATCAGGTTCCTTGTAGCAGCTGGAATTTTATTGTGTAACGAACGGCACGTCAGGAGAGGTTTGGACTTGCGCAGCAGTCTTTTAGTTAGAACGCTACTTACAGAGCTAAAGAGTAAAGGCAAAGGGCAGGGTCTGCAAGCGGAGTGCTTTGACTGTCCTTCCAAAGGCAAGAAGGGCCTGCCCCCTTCCTAGACCTGCAGCTCTGTTCACGGGGATGCTCCAGCATCGCCTCATTAGGGAGACCCTCCCTGAGCACCTGCCTTGCGGCCCTGCCCCTCTGCTTCGGCTCCTCGCACTTAGTGCCACCTCCCAGCTGTTCTGTGTGAGTCAGAGTTCCCCAGGCCGCCACGAGGCCAGGGACGTTGTCTGTTTTGAGCACTGCTCTATCTTCAGCCCTTAGAACCAGGCGTGTACACAGTAGGTGCTCAGTAAGTACTTCCACAGTCGGGGTGAGCATGCCTGGTGAGGGATGAGTGGAGGGCTTGCCTTTAGGACAAAGCGTATCCGCCATGTGTCACCCCAGTGAGCTTGCCCTTGCTAACATTCCCAGGAAGGGGTGGCGTGCAGGGGTGGGGAGGGGACGTTAGATAATCTGAAGGGCCTGTGTGCTGTCCCAGGGAGGCGTGGGGGACGGGGAGTGGCTCCGTGGCAGAGAAGGGCCGGATCCTCCTGTCCCCTGCACATCTACGAGGCCAGGCTGCTCATCTGGCCGGTTCTCACGTGAGGACCCTCAGGGTGGGTGTAGGCGTCGCCCAAGTTTCTTTCCCGGGGTCCCCGGTCCCGAGGTGCAGCCAGTGTCTGACTTGATGCTGTTGGTTTCCCCCCCGGCCACAGACTTTCTCCTGCCCTTGCCACGTTGCACCCGTTGCTCCAGGGAGTGAAAGCAGCTTTTCAGCAGGGCACCCTGCAGCGCACCCAGGGCTCCCGTGGGACCCCGTTCTGCTGGCTGGGGGTGGGGTCTGGCCCGGCGCTGGATGGCCAGGGGTCCTCCGACTCCTTTGTTGGCACCGAGGGTCTTTCTCAGGGAGTTTTTCCGCCGCCTCTGCTCGTGTCAACTCAAGACGTGGCCCAGCCCCCGGTCACAGGGATGCGTCACACAGGGGCCTGTGACGAGGTGGCCTGCTTTGGGGTCCTGGCTCTTCTTTGTTTCTTACGCTTGACTCTTGTTTTTGTTTTCTTTTCAGGGGAGGTCTGTTTCTTTAACGACTTTTTACCGAACAGCAAGAAATATCATGAACATGTGCTTCAGCAAGGAGCCCGCACCAGCTGAAATCGAGGTGCGTGAGCTGGGCGGTCCCGGCCCCCCACTCCGCTCGGAGCCAGGGATGGAGCCCCTGGGCCTTCTGGGGGCGGGCGGGCGGAGGGGTCGTGAACGCTCAGCCCGTCGTCTGGGTGCTGGGGGCAGCCAGAAGTTTCAACTCGTACCGACCCCAACTTGTGCAGGGTCAGCAAAGGTGTAGTGGAGAGAGCGAGCCTCCCCGGCTTTGCCCTGACTCCCCTGGAGCCGAGGCTTCGGCCCGGGGAGAGCCCCAGCCGGGCCCCGCCCAGCTGACCGCCTCTCAGCCCTTCTCACCCTGTCCTCCGGGTGCGTGTTATGCAAGAGAATGTTTGGAATCCCTTGAAACCCCAGTTGTGCTCTTTGCTCTCTCCTGTTTTTCATTTAACGGGGTTGGCAGGTTGCCATTTCTGTGCTTCTGAGTTGCGTGAGGTTGGAGAGGTGCAAGTGCGTCCTGCGCCCAGGCCGGCGAGCGGCAGTTCGGCGTGAGGCGTGGCCCAGGGCGCCCGGATGCTGACGTAGGTGGGCCTGTGCAGGGAGAGGCCCGACTTCTCTCGCTGGTTCAGGGCGGTTGCTGGCGGAGCATGCGGTGATGCGGACTGCAGCCTGGCTTTTGGTGAACAGCTGGTCTCAGAGCACATCTTTTTCTTCGAAGATATGTGCTTCTTCCTCTCGGTAAAACCGTGCTGACCACCAGGGCGCCCGGGCCCTGATGTTTTTTGTTTTTTTTTTTTTGCGGTACGCAGACCTCTCACTGTTGTGGCCTCTCGCGTTGCGGAGCACAGGCTCCAGATGCGCAGGCTCAGCGGCCATGGCTCACGGGCCCAGCCGCTCTGCGGCACGTGGGATCCTCCCGGACTGGGGCACGAACCCGTGTCCCCTGCATCGGCAGGCAGACTCTCAACCACTGCGCCACCAGGGAAGCCCCCGGGCCCTGATTTGATTGGGTTTCCCGGGAGTGGGCCTTTCAGGACAGTCTGGGTCACCAGGACGCCTGGTCCCCTGCATCTGTGCCGCGTGGGACCCCGCCTCTGATGGTAGCCGTCAGAAGCCCAGGAGGTCCCGCCCTGGTGCTCAGGCCTTGGTTTCCCAGGTTGGTGAATTCCGTGTTCGAGTTTGGCATCACCGTCATTGCTTTTAGGCCCCGGGTCTGTACCCTGGGTGGTATCTGTGAACACCACCCAGTGGCCTGACCTTTGGCCCTGCCAAATCCACGTTCCATCTACCGCGACGCCAGCGGTGCCCTGATTCTGCGACACGTGGCCGTCACAGTTGCTTCCCGAGTGCCTGTGCCATTTGTGGGAGAAACGTCAGCGGGAAGGAACGCGACTCTGGGGCTGAACACCAGAGGTGGAAACAGAGGCCTTTGCTTTACAAGCGCAGGTCCCTGTCGGGCGTCCCCACAGGGTAGGCTTGTCACTGTCCATCGCTTCCTACTCAGGAATTAATTCTCTCTGGAAGCCCAGGTTTCGCTTTAACAGTTGTATAATATCGAAACACAAAGGGAAGATATGCTAAACTCTACCCTTTAAGTCTGGCTGACTTCTAGATCCTGCAGAGAGCCTGGGCCCTCTCCTCGGCCGGTGTCACCAGCCTGAGTGGCCCCCCCACCCCGTAGCAGACGGCCCCCTTCCTCCCCTGCCTCTTTATTCACCCAGCAGAGGTTGGTGTGGGTCTAGGTGGGACTGGCCTGAACCCGTCCCCTCAGACAGAGTGCTGCTCCGTCATGCGCTGCCTGCTAGGACGGCTGTTTGAGGAACCCAGGCATTTAATGCTGTCGGCCTCCTCCTTGACGCGGGGCATCTGGCCGCCCCCAGGCTGGTTTTGTTGCAGGAGCCGCACGGCGGGGTGATGGCTGACACCGGGGGCTCGTGGGTGAGGCTTCCTCCTTTAAGTGGGGTTCCAGGAAGCAGGGGTGGGTGATGCTGTACTTCTGGAATGATGAGTGGAGACACAGTGAGGGGGGAAACTGAACCTCTCTCACCTGTTAGCAAAGCACATCTCGACCCCCTCTTGCCCTGCAGTCATTTAGGTCATGCCCATCCCTCCCCCATCTGTTTCGGTGGCTTGGATCACAGCCTGGGGGTCCGACCCTCACGTGCAGCCCACTCATTGGGGGTGTGCAGCGTGTGTCTGCTGAGACGCCTGCCTGGGGCTGTGGTCATTATACCTACGGATGGTGGCCGGACGTCTTCAGCCCCTTTGCTGTTATCGCTTTCTCCCTCCCTTTCGTATAAATGATTTTTTTTTGTGGTACGCGGGCCTCTCACTGTTGCGGCCTCTCCCGTTGCGGAGCACAGGCTCCGGACGTGCAGGCTCAGCGGCCGTGGCTCACGGGCCCAGCCGCTCCGCGGCATGTGGGATCTTCCCGGACCGGGGCACGAACCCGTGTCCCCTGCATCGGCAGGCAGACTCTCAACCACTGCGCCACCAGGGAAGCCCCTCGTATAAATGATTTTTAATTGTGGTAAAACATGTGTAACGTTTACCACCTTAGCCATTTTTAAGTGCAGTTCGGTGGCCCTGAAGTCCATTCACGTTGTTTTGTGAGCGTCACCACCATCCATTTCGAGAACTTTTCCATCTTCCCAAACTAAAAGTCGGTTCCTGTTAAACACTGAGCCGCCGTCCTCCCTGTGTGCAGCCCGTGACACCGCTGCTCTTCTTTCTCTCCGACTTTGACTGTCCTGAGCACCTCACAGGAGTGGAATCACGGTATTTGTCCGAGACTGGCTGATGCCACTTCGCGTGAAGTCCTCAAGGTGTATCCGTGTTGTCGCGTGTCCGAGTTGCCCTCCTTTCTGAGGCTGAGTCGTGTTCCGTGGACGTTGTGCCTTGTGTTTATCCAGTCGTCCACTATGGACGTGGCCGCCGTGACCATGGGCGTGCGGTCGTCTGTCTGCAGCCCCATCCCCCTGCTCCCTAGTGGCTGTTGCTCTAGGCGAAGATGGTCCCTTCGTCTCGCATCGTTGAGTTGAGCTGGGCCCTGCGGCCACGGGTAGCGAGATGGTGCTGACAGCCCTCCCTCTCCCCGCAGCAAGAGTACTGGAGGCTCGTGGAGGAGAAGGACTGCCATGTGGCCGTGCACTGCGGCAAGGTGGACACCAACACCCACGGCAGCGGCTTCCCGGTGGGAAAATCAGAACCGTTTTCAAGGTAACGTCGGACGCTCCTGCCCGTGTCCTGGGGACTGGACAGTGCCCCTCCACGTCCGTCAGTGACGCTCCTGTGCTTTCCTCTGCAGACACGGATGGAACCTCACCGTCCTCCCTAATAACACAGGCTCCATCCTGCGTCACCTTGGTGCTGTGCCTGGTAAGCCTGCCTTGGGTGGCTGTGGGCCCAGCTCGCCCCTTTAAGAGCTGGAGGGGAGGGGACTGCGGCGCACGGCGCGTGGAGAGAACTGGGATTGTTAGAGAAGAGAGAGGGGTCAGCATCATGGCTGAAGTCAGTAAAAATGCAGAAAGGTAAACCAAGTCGCAGATCTAGAAGCTGGGCAGATGCGTAATGGCCAGCTTTCCACCTTGGCCAATTTCAGAGCTAATGTTCTCTGTGGGGCTACTGCCTCACAGCCGGGAGGGAAACCAGTTGTCCTGGGTGTTGTGGGAAGAAGGGGCCCCTGGAGGAGGTGACCAGCGTGGGTGACCCCACGCTGGCGGGGAGGGGTTACCCCGAACAAAGGGACCCCGCTTCCTGGCTGGTGGCCAGTCGACAACAGTCGTGGTCGTGTTCCTTGGGCATCTTGCCTCCTGCCTAAAGTCACTAGTTAAGATGTTCTTCCACGACTGTTTTGTGTCACGTGATCTTGGTTTCTGTGTAAGAAGCAGGAAAGAACAAGTGCCTTCTAATCAGTGGGTTTTGTCTGATTTTGAATCCCATTTCTTTCTCTGGTTTGGGGAGAAGATGCAATTTCTCTTGCTGTCCCCCTGAGACATTGGTCTTCATCCTGCCCTGTCCCCTGTGTTCTAGGAGTGACAATTCCCTGGCTAAATATTGGCATGGTCTTTTCTACCTCATGCTGGTCTCGAGACCAAAACCACCTTCCCTACATTGACTACTTACACACTGGTGCTGACTGCATTTGGTGAGTACACCGGCCCCAGGCCTCCTGATGCCACCTTGCACTCACTGATGGCTGACAGCCTTGGAGGGCTTATTTTGCGAGTTTGTCCCGTGTTCCGTGTCATGTCAGCCTGGGGAGCTGTGTTAGAAGTCGAGCTGGTGGAGAATACTTTAATTTGCTCAGGTGGTGCTCAAGCACAGACGAGCATCTGTTCTCAGTTGCTGCTAATACGGGGCGGGGGGGGTTCTCCTGTGAGGTTTTCCCCTGGTGGTGGTGGATTTCCAGGAGTTCGTTTCATAGCAGGGTCAGAAACAGAGTACAGCAGAAAGCTGGCCGGGAGCGGTGCCCAGTCCACCGACTGCGGAGAAGAGAGTAGGTCTTACTGGAAGTGGAGTTCTGCCGTGGGAGATTTCACGAGTTTGTCTGTTTCCCAGGAAGCCTTCTGCCCGGTTCCCAGGCGTGATCCTTAACTGTAAGGCTCACCAGCCCTGATCCGAGCTGGCTCTTCAGCTCCTTTGTTTACGACGGCAGATGGGAAATCACTGCAAATAATCAGATGTCTAGTCGTCTCACGGGCTACCGGCACCGCATCCATCCCACACTAACTGTGTTTATTGTCCTAATGGGGTGATTAGCATCGTTTATTAAGACAAACAAAGTCTTAGAACTAATGTTCTCCCTCCAAGGAGCCAGTGTCGGCAGCAGCCTGGCCATCACGACTCGCCCTGCCTTCCGGCTGTGTCAGGGCCAGTGGCGGGCGGTGTAGAGGCGGGCAGGCCCTGGGGGTGATTTTCTGCGGTGGGGCTGGGGTCTCGGGCAGAGCTGAGGGTGGACAGCCGGACGGTCCTGCGCAGGGCGGCTGGCCGCGGGGACGCTGTGGGTGTGCGTGCTCTCCTCCAGGAGCCACTGAGCCCTGAGCGCCGTTCCCCACGGAGACGCTGCCGGGCAGCGCCGGCCAGTCTGCGTTGAGAGTCACAGGGTCCCACGCAGGCCTGTGACGGGCCCCACCGGACCCTGGTTCCTCATCGGAAAGTGGAGTGACGTGGCCCGCGCCCCGCACGGTGATGGGGTGAAAGTTCGTGGCCCCAGTGGTCGTTGTTCTGCTTGGCCCGTTGAGTGAGAGGCAGGGAAACCCTAGGTTCTGTGGGCTGTGTGAAAACTAATCCCTGGAACCTCACTGATGGGGGGTAGAGAGGCGGCCGGATAGGATCAGAGAACTTCATGGTGTGTGGTTTTTCTTAAAACATGTGATTGAGGTTAGAAACCCTGGATTTAAATCACAAATCCGTAACAGAATATGTTGGCATTGAAATAACAAGCACTTGGAAGAGCCTTGGATGTGGTGAGAGCCTCCTCTCACTCGGCAGCGGAAGTCAGGACTTGAACCCTCCCCACCAGGCCTGGGCAGCCTGAAGACCTGTCACACGGCTCCGGGGGTGTCAGATGTCCCACTGAAGCCTGTGGACGGCGGGGTTGGGAGGTCCCAGAGGAGGGGGCCCGGAGGAGGCTGCAGGTGCCTGCCTCGCGTGCTGACCACTGGCACCAGGATCTCGGGAGTCGCAGGTGGCAGGTGCGTCCCTGCTGGGTCCTCCTGGGACGTCAGTGGCAGTTCCCATTCTCCTGAGCCCTGGGATCGCACTGAGGGTCCAGGTTCTTCTGGTTGAGTTCGGGCCGCGTTTCCTCCCACCATCTTCCCGAGCTCCTTGGCTCCAGAGCGGGGTCCGTGTTGTCGGAGCCCCAGCCCCTGTGGGGCCGCTCCCTTCACCTGACGCAGGCCCTCGTGGTGCTGGCTGTCCTGCGTATCTCTTGTGTATTCCACACCAAATCCTGGTCCTGCAGCGTCCTCTGTCTGCTACAGAAAAGTGTCAGGTGCCAGCCCAGCGATAAGTCGCAGCTGTCTGGATCTGATTTACAGGGGCTTTTAAACATCTGCTTTTGGTTTGAAGACTTTTTGGCTCACGCTTAGGTCAGATCTGCATATAAAAGATGAGCATGCTTGTCTGCTGCAGGGGCCGCAGAGCTGCCCTGGGAGCAGAGACCCTGGGGACGCTTATGAGCAGGCCCACCTCCCCTCCTGCGCCCAGGCCAGTTTCCAGGCTGCTGTTTGCTCATCTCTGGGGGAGTGTGGAGGATGGGCTCCCGGGCAGGGGGTCCTTGTCAACCCTTTCTGCCCTGATTCCAAACCACCCAGGTATTGCATTCCTGCTGAGGAGGAGAACAAGCTCGAGGACGTGGTGCACACCCTGCTGCAAGCCAACGGCACCCCCGGCCTGCAGATGCTCGAGAGCAACGTCATGGTACGGGGGCCAAGATGGTGGTGGAGACTGGGCTTGCGTCAGGTGGCGGGGCCAACGCAGTTGTTTCATGAACTCACCCTCTTTGTCGACCTGCCCCTCAGAGGTAAAGAGGACAATGAAAAATCAGTCCTCCAGGGATCCAGCATAAGCAAAATGTCCTCTCTTATGAAAACCAAACTAAAGTGCGTTCCTCTGATTGATGGCCCAGGACACAGGACTCATGCTCGTGGGGACCTTTGACTCTATTTCCGGGCCTGGTGGTTTTTTTTTTTTTTTGGTAAATGGCGACTGGGCTGGGCAGGGCAGCTGGATGACTGGGCCACCTGGGCTTCTGGTCAGGCTCACTCAGGGATAAGCACAGCGGCTGCTGACCCTATTTTCAGACAGTCACGAGCCTGCTGAGCTGCCGGGAACCTCTTTAGCCTAGAATTGTGTTCTGACAACCTGAGCTCAAGGCTTTTCCGGCCTCCGCTGACCCTGCCTGGGTCTCCTTTTGCTCTGGGCCCGCCTCACTCTGGGTTTGGCTCAGAGAAGGTAAGCAGCAGCCCCCGTGCTGTGCACACGGATCCCGGTCCAACCGCTCAGTGCCCGTGGGGACATGGGGCGCTCACAGCGGCCATGCCTTTGCCTGAATCGTTGTCACTCTTGGGCCTGTATCAGTTTAGAACTTCCTCCTCCTTTGTTTAGGAGTTACGTCTCTTTATTTTCTAAAGGAGAAACAAAACATCTTTCATACAAAACGTAATCTGTGTCTGGAGGAGGCTTAAGTCCCGATGCCCCGTCTGGAGGGCAGGTGGGCCGGCAGGCTGTCGCGGAAAGAGCTCCGGATGGTGGGAGGGAGGCACCCAGGAGGGTGGCCCTTTGTGGGCGCGCAGCTCAGCCCTCGTCTCCACAGATCTCCCCGGAGGTGCTGTGCAGGGAGGGGATCAAGGTGCACAGGACGGTGCAGCAGAGCGGCCAGTTTGTCGTCTGCTTCCCGGGATCCTTTGTGTCCAAAGTGTGTTGCGGCTACAGCGTCTCTGAGACCGTGCACTTCGCCACCACCCAGTGGACGAGTATGGGCTTCGAGACAGCCAAGGTAGGCAGGCGGCCCTTGGCACGCGTTCCTGTGTGTGTGTCTGTGTGTAGATAATGTTTAATTTCAAAGTGAGTCTTGGAAACCTGAGTTGGCCGAGAGTTTTTTTTTAGAGAGGGAGAGCTGTTAGAGGTTGACTGTATCATGAAAGTCGTCAAGCTCTGTCACTGACCCTCTGCGGTACTGGGAGGTCAGTACTGAAGGTGTTTAAGGCAAACACAGTTCTCGGCTGGCGGAGCCACGAGTACCTGGTGTCTGGTGTCTTTCTCCAGGGAGACACGATTGTCGTACAGTTTTCAATTGCTTTGAATCCAGATGGAATTCAACATTTGAAAATTCAGATAGCGACCCCTCCCTGGTAAAGAAAGCCCTTGACCGCTGCCTAGCGTTGAAAATTCTGCCCTAAAGGGACGTGACTGCCCCTTGCAGGAGATGAAGCGTCGCCACATAGCTAAGCCATTCTCCATGGAGAAGTTACTCTACCAGATCGCACAAGCGGAAGCGAAAAAGGAAAACGGTCCCACTCTCAGTACCATCTCAGCCCTTTTGGACGAGCTCAGGTAACACAGGACCCCCGGGGCCCAGGCCGGGTGGGATGGGGGTGCGGCCCGTCCTCTGTGGGAAACCGCCGGCCACCGGCTCGGAGCTGCAGGGCCCGCCTGGGGCTTGGCCAGCGGGCGAAGACTTCGGGGTGCCGATGCTGCAGGAGGTGCACCCTCTTTGTGGAAATGGACAGGAGGGGGCTCCTGAACCCCTGGCCTCACAGGTCCTTGGTGCCCCTTGCCAGCGAGGAAGGGCCCTGGGAAGGAGCAGACAGGGCAGGAATTGAAGTGACCGTTTGCGTGGCTTCCCACGTGACCTGCAGAGGCTCAGCGGAGCTGCTGGACAGCACACGATCTTCACGCGCGTGTTGATCCTCTGATTCCGACGTCGGCAGATAGTTTGTCACGTCCGTCTTTGGCCCGGGCGTGGGGGCACCCTGGCTGGCACTGGGCGCTTTGCCCCGGGTTCACCGCAGGCAGGGCCCGGCCATCCGAGAGCCCTTGGGGGTGGTCTGGCCTTTCAACTTCGTACGCAGGCCCCAGGTGGGGAAGCTGGGCCCCGAGGTCCCGCGGCCCAGCCACTTGGCGCCCTGAGCCTCGTGTGTCTGGACAGGGACACGGAGCTGCGGCAGCGGCGGCAGCTGTTCGAGGCCGGCCTCCATTCCTCCGCCCGCTATGGCAGCCACGAGGGCAGCAGTGCCGCGCCCGACGGGAAGAAAAAGCCTCGGAAGTGGCTGCAGCTGGAGACCTCGGAGAGGAGGTGTCAGATCTGTCAGCACCTGTGCTACCTGTCCATGGTGAGCCCACGCCTCCCTCACGGCCGCTGCGCCGTCTCCCTGACCCCCAGCTCTGCCTTTCTCTGTCCCCTGCCCATCCTCCCTCAAGCAGCTGCCACGTGACACGTGCCCCCCGCCCCGGTCTCTTTCGTTGTCTCTTTTACCTTCTTTTCAGCCCTGTGACTGATCTTGCTGCCCCGTGGACTCAGAAATCTGTCTGGTTCAAGCAGCATCTCCTATCCCCAGCCTCCCTGTGCCTGCTCCTGGCTGGAAGGCGGCCCCCTGAGCTGCCACAGTCCAGCCCGTCTGCCTGCCTTCCTGGTCGCTCCTGCAGCCTCCTTGAGGGGTGATCCAGCCCAGCCTGAGGCTGTGTTACATGCTTAGCGTCCCCTATGCCGACCCCATCCCAGGCCAGAGGCGACCCCGTCCAGAAGCCTTGCTGGACGGCCAGCTGGACAGTGCAGACCCGCCTCTTGCCTCCCGTGGGCAGCTGCCCTGACACAGGTCTCTGTAAACGCAGGAACGCCCCCCGCTGCTGTGGCCTCAGCCGATGCCATTGCCCTCTCCCTACCTGGGCAGAATCCCCCTCCCCAGAGAGAAGCTTAGGTAGTAAGTGCCCGCGCAATGCCCCCCTCGTGCATCCCCACCAGCCCCACGTGGCCACCGAGGTGCAGAGCGGCAAGCGTGTCCCAGGTCTGACTCTTGGCCTCCTGGCCATGTGCCGTGTGACTGTGATGCCGTCTCACCCCCTCGCCCTGTGTCCCCGGCACACCTCTGGCTGCCCTGCAGAGAAGAGGGGACTACGTGGCCACTCCCGCTGAGCCAGATGCCCTTTGTCACACATGAGACGTCAGAGCACTGAGAAATAACGGGAGGAATACTGTAATAGTTGGCTAGGGCTGCCGTATCAGAGCACCACCGACTGCTGCCTTGAGCAACAGAAGTCCCTTTTCTCATAGTTCTAGAGGCGGGACGTCCAAGATCGCTGTGTCGGCAGGGCTGGCTCCCTCTGAGGCCTCTCCCTGGATCCCAGACGGTCGCTTTTCCCTGCGGCACAGTGGTTGTGGCCTTTCCTCTGTGTGCTTCTGTGTGTTAATCTCTGGTTAAAAGGATGTAAGTCATATTGGACTAGAACCCACCCTTATGACCTCAGTTTCCCTGATTATGTCTTTGAAGGTCCTTTCTCCAAATAAGTCACCTCTGGAGTTACTGAGGGTTAGGACTTCCATGTCTGAATTTGGGGAGGGGGGTAATAATTCCGTCCATAACCACCACACATCCCACTTTACATATTTTCTTCTATCTAGCTTTCTTTTCCCAGAGGCTTTTGAGAGGATACAGTCAAGAATCAAGCTGTCTTTAAAACAAACAAGTCATAAGAATTTCCCCAGATCTTAAAAATGTTTTGTGAATATCGCTCATAAAAGCCGCATAGTTCTGTGTTCGTTCCTCTTGCATTAGAATGGGGTTATTCTCGTGGGAAGCAATCATCGTGTATTTCCCATGAGCCTGGGTGACTCTGTTGTGACCTCATGTGGCCCTGGTTCCTTCCTGTGGGCTCCAAAAACGGCAGGGTGTGGGCTCATTTTTAGGCTCTCCCTCCGAAAGCTGTACCTTGAGAGTTGTCACCAGGATTTCTTAGCCAGAATGGTATTTTAAAAAGCACATATCCTGAATACATAGGTAAAAATTGAAGTTTTATTTATATATGCTTTTCATTGCTTAGGTACTAAGGGGTTTATATGTTTTTGTTCACTGTTTCGTATGTATGTCTGTTCCTGTCCTCAGCCCCGGGTGATGTGTTTGTGCCAATAAGTGTCATTTCCTTATTCCTACAGCTTATTTTTTTTGTTTCTTTTTTTATAAATTTATTTACTTTTATTTATTTATTTATTTTTGGCTGCATCGGGTCTCTGTTGCTGCGCTTGGGCTTTCTCTAGTTGCGGTGAGCGGGGAGTCCTCTTCGTTGCGGTGCGCAGGCCTCTCTTGTTGCGGAGCACGGGCTCTAGGTGCGCAGGCTTCAGTAGTTGTGGTGCGTGGGCTTCAGTAGTTGTGGTACACGGGCTCGGTAGTTGTGGTGTGTGGGCTCAGTAGTTGTGGCTCACGGGCTCTAGGCGCACGGGCTCAGTAGTTGCGGCGCACGGGCTTAGTTGCTCTGCAGCATGTGGCATCTTCCCAGACCAGGGCTTGAACCCGTGTCCCCTGCACAGGCAGGCAGATTCCCAACCACTGTGCCACCAGGGAAGTCCCCAGCTTGTTTTCTTGTCTTTGCTTAGCAACAATGAAGATAAGAAACCTAGGTCTTCCCGTTGAATCCTTATGGAAAGACCTGTGATCCTTTGCATCTGGTGTGTCAAGGCAGCATTTTTGCATTGTTTACACTGAGTGAGACCAGGACCGGGAGTCAGGGTTGGGGTGAGGGATGCCCCCCGCCCACACACACACAGCTCTGAGCATCTGCGGGGCCTCGGCCCATCCCTGGTGCCAGCGCACCCTCAGGGCACTGGAGATTCAGGCTTGCGGGGCAAGGATCAGGAACCGTGCTGGCTGGAGTGTGGACAGAGGTGCTGCCTCCCGAGGTGGTGTAAACCAGCTGGACCAACTGAGCCGCCCAAGAGCAGGAGAAACACGCGTTGCCGCCGAAGTGTCCAGGGTGTGGCCATTCTGGCACCTTTTGTACCGGCGTAGTTTTTGAAGAAGTCTCAGGAGCCCTGAGAACCCTCAGCCCCTGTCCACCAGCCCGCTGCGCTCAGACCCTCTGGCGGGAAAGTGCACAGGAGCCAGGAGGGCCCTCGAGGCCTTTGGGTGCAGCCCAGAGATGGTCACTTACTTGTTTCCTGGTTGACGATCCCGGTGACTTGTTGGTGTTCTCGTCAGTATCCCATGTCTCTGGGTCACAGACGCCCCTGGCCTGGGCGGTGGCCTCCCACACTCTGCTCCCGGGACACCCCCCCTGTCCTCCACCCCCGAGTCCCCTCAGCCTCGGGTGCCTCTCGTCCCGCAGGTCGTGCAGGAGAACGAGAATGTGGTCTTCTGCCTGGAGTGTGCCCTGCGCCACGTGGAGAAGCAGAAGTCCTGCCGCGGCCTGAAGCTCATGTACCGCTACGACGAGGTCAGTGCCTCGCGGGGTGGCAGCGGTCCCCTGCCTGCGTGGTCCATGTCACAGCTCGTCGTGACCGCGTGCAGCCGGCCTGGTTCCAGGTGCCTTCTGGCCGGACGGTGCCTGACGTGGTGGGAAGGTAGCTCCTTGCGCCAAGGTGGGGGAGTGGGCAGGTCCGGCTCGAGTTCCACTGGCCTGGAGAAACCAGGAGCTGAGGCTGCAGGGACTTCTGTCCTTGTCCGCGCTTTGTCGTGCCCCAGCGAGCCTGTCCGCAGTGCGCTCAGCTCTGCTTTCCCTCCTGGCCTCGGTGCCTCGGTTCATAAGGAGTTCGGTTTCAGGGCGTGGCTGCCCCACTGTCTGGAGGGGACTGTGCCTTCATCTCCAGTCGGGGCCCAGAACAGACCGAGACCGAAATCGGCAGGGCCAAGCCAGGGCTCCCCTTCCCTCCAGGCCGAGGGCCGCTTCGGGGGCCTTGCGGCTGCGTCCATCTGGTCTCTGTGTCCTCAGAGCAGCCCGGGACTCGGCCTGAGGAGCCTTCCTGGCCCCAGCCCCGCGGGGCCGGGGCCTCTGGGACACAAAGTGCCGATCGCCGTGCCCGACTGCCCGTGTCGGCGTCCCTCCCCCGCAGCTGCCAGCGGTTCTGCTGTGGGTCTGTGCGTGGTGAACTTCAGAGCCTGCGGCCACTTGCTGAGCTATGGGCAGCGCCCGCGCCCTTGTCCTTACCCCGGGGCCTCGGCAGACACGGAGCCTTTCACTGTTTGCTCCTGAAGGCTTCAACTTCTGAATAAATCCCAGTTCCACCCTGTCTGAAAACCGCAGCCGTCCCCAGAGGCAGGTCCGCATGAGGCGCTTTCTGTGTCGGCTGGTCTCCACTGCCCGTTAGGTGCCCCCACGGGGAGGGCGCTGCTCAGCCGGCCCGGAGCACTGAGGGCTCCGCTTCCAGAGCAGCCTTGCTTGTCTCGTCACGTGTGTTTTACGTGCTTCCAGGCTGCTCTGCGATTGCGTTTCCGGGTACAAGCTCGCAGCTCCGGAGACACGTGGCCCTTTTTCTGGGGGGGTCACCTTGGGAGACTGCTCTGGGGGGACCCCGTTGCCCCTCTTGGCCCGCCCTCTTCCAGAGAAGCGTCCTCCTCCCTGTGGTGTCTGGCCGTGAGCCCCTCTCTGAGGGTGGAACCTGCCGGCTCTCCCATCCCCACTGCCCCCGAAACCTGGGGCCGACAGTCCCACGTAAGGCGGCCTCATCCAGCCATCACACATGGCAGCCCCGGGCAGGGCCGGGCCGGGTGCCCCGGGAGGCAATGGGGGCACCCGTGGGGTCTCAGGCTGTGGTCAGACTTGATCAGAAGCCTTTGGCTAAATTGTAAGATTGGAAAGCTGAAAATAGATCTCTTTGCATCTTCTTTGTTTTTAAAGAGCATGTTCAGCGAAGGCAATAACCACTTTCCCCTCCCTGCTTCTTCACTTGAACAGCAAATGTCAGAACACGGTTAAAAATAAACCCTCGTGTCTGAGTCAGAGCATCTCTGGCAACTCGCAGGGTACAGCCGGCGGCGCTGGGGCTTCTCGAGATGATTCTGAAGCTCGACAAAACGTGGGTTAGTTTCCACCTCCAGCCCATCTTGGAGCTAGGTGTCTTGATGTGACCAAAATCCTGGAAAAGAATCACATATGTAGTAGGGTCTGTCGGTCTGAAGCTTAATCATTGGTTCTCACGCATAGGGAAAAGGTTTTGTCAGCCTCCTACTTTGCCAGTGGCCTGTTTTAGTAAATGAAAATCACAAGTCAGTTCCCTGTTGAGTTGAACTGTATTTTTTTTTTTTCTTTTTTTAATTGGGGAATTTCCAGCTCTGGGTTGGATCTCAGAAATGGCTCTTGAGAGCACAGCTCTGGTCTGAGCCGTGGTGCCCAGCAGTCAGACCCCTCTGTCCAGCTGTTCGGTCCCACAGGTGCAGGCGGGCGGCTGCCTCCTCGGACCCCCTGCTGCCCAGGTGGCTTTAGCTGCAGGTAACTGGGCTTTACTGAAGCTCATCTGTTTGTTCTTCATTAGCATGTGTATCCTAAGTGCTTTAAGTGGCCCAACGATGTCTGCAGTGCCTGGGAGCAGGCCTGGGCCCGGACTAGGCTGACCCTCAGGCTTGAGTGAAGGAGTGGCCTCCTGTCCCCGTGTCCTCCTGGTCTGTCCGTCCCTGGCTCCAGCAGGTGCTCTGCAGTGTATGTCAGAACATGGGCCATTTTAATACTCCTCCACGTGGTTTCTTTTAAAACTGGATGGTTGCGAGTTGTGTTAGTTACACATGTATTTTTGACGCCAACAGATAGATGGTTCTCTTGTTGCGTTTGTTCTCTCCCCTTCGCTGAGGAGGGATCGAGAAACGTTTATAGACACGTGTTTGTATTCATCTGCAAGAGCAGGTTAAGTAGGCTCCAGAGTAGCAGAGAGAGCCACAAGCAGCCCCCAGGCATTTGTCACCGTGCAGGGAGCCAGGCGAGGGGCCCTGGGCACTCAGGCCTGAGTCTCCCCTCACTTCCCAGCCCTCCCCTTCCTGCTGGGGCCCCGGGCGGCCTCTCAGCCCCGAGGAGGTGCCCAGGTGGCGGCAGCAGGAAGCCTGCTGCTGTGTTGTCTCGGCGGCGAGGGACCTCGTGGACACGGGTGAAGGTACAGACCAGATGGGAAAGCAGCTGTAAGGAAACAGCCCCACACTTACTCTGGTTTTGGGGCTGCAGGTATTTCAGGGCTTTCAGCTCGTGAACGTTTGGACTTTACAGCCACCAGGGGGCGCTCCTGGGCTCCCTGGAGGGGGAAGTGGGGTTAGGAAGCTGCCCATCAGGAAAGGACCTGGCGTACCGTTTCCTTGGCTTCCAGATGAGAAAAGGCAGGTTTCTCCCCGAGAAGGAGTGTTTCGTTTAGGTGCCTGGCCAGGGGACCTTGGTCTCGGGAAGTTGTTGTCTTAACCAGCTCCCAGGCCGCCGCACCCGGGAACCTCGGGGCGGATTTCCAAGGCCACCCAGCCCTCCCCACCCCACCCCCTCGGTGCCGCTCTGACGTGGTTTGATGAAGGTGACTCCCTGGGGGGTCCTGGCGACGCTCTTCCGTTGGCTAATCCTGTGTCTTCCTTTCAACCCGAAACAGGAACAAATTATCAGCCTGGTCAATCAGATCTGTGGCAAGGTATCTGGTAAAAACGGCAGCATTGAGAACTGTCTCGGTAAACCCACACCAAAAAGAGGGCCCCGCAAGAGAGCGACGGTGGACGTGCCGCCCTCCCGGCTCGCCGCTGCCTCCTCCTCGTGAAGACGCCAGCACCGTGGGCCGGGGATAGATATTTTTCTGTAATTATTATATTCTAGTTTGGAGTACTGGCTGTAGGATACAAGCTGTCTTTGCACTAGCTCTGAAGAAGATTTTCTTCTGGTTTTAGAGAACTAATTTTGTTTTAGCATTAAACTGTTGAACTTTTTTTGTACTTAGAATACCTAGATACTGCAGTCAGATTTTTGAAACTGCCGTATATTCACTGTTTTAAAACCCTTGAGGGGCTGTTATTAATTTGTATCGCCCCTTGTGGCTGACAAAAGCCTTTTTGTTTGATTTTTGTTTTTTTTTTTTTTTTTTTTTTTTTTTGTTTTTTTTTTGTAATTGTTGGGGGAAAAAAAGGCTTTTTTAACCCAGTTTTGAAGAGGGTAAAGTTTGGAGAACAAATTTTAAAACCATCAGTAATGTGAGCAGATTTTTTTCTAGAGAGGAAAAGGGATAGGAGACACACACACACACACACACAAACACAAAACTTGAAAGAAATGGCTTTACTTTGGCTGTCTTTTCTTCTGTCATGTGCAGGATGAGTTTGTAATTGTTAAAACCGGAGAATCCCCATTTTGTTTCTTTGGGCGGTTATGGCAGCTGAAGGTGGACGTTGTTTCCTAACCATAGGCAAAATGAGGAGGTCGGAGTGACTAGGTTCTCTTTACCAGCACATCACTATGCATCTGTTTAAGGAAAAAAAGGAAAGAGAAGAAAAAGACTGCCTGCCTTGGAGGGGGTCGCGTGAGGGAAACCTGTGCCTGATTTCATTAGGAAATCCATTCTGTTATTTTTTGGTGCTGTTGGCTACTTTATCAAAAAACCCTTCAATAGCATCCTTAAAACAAAAAAAGGAAAAAAGTGATTGAAGCCGTTAAGTGCTTCTTCGTCATGGATGTGCAATCTTTCTAACATTCCGTCTTCATCTCACAGCTTGTTGTTTTACACCTTCACAGGTCAGCATTAATCTTTCTTTTTAAACTCGTTCTGTTGGCGATCACATCTAGAGCCACTAGGAGGTCTGCCGTTCTTTTTGAATGTGAAAATGTATCTGCGCTCATCTGGTCTAGTTTTTCTCTTCATGTTGTAACAAAAAGAAAAAAAAAATCCCGTCCCTTTTGTACATACGCCTGTAAATTGTTTTAAATACTTGAGCCTTTTTCTGGGTGGGGGAGGGGAGGGGGTGAGAAGACGAGATGAAGAAAAGCCTTACACTTCAGTTTCTTCATCGGTTGGATTGGATGCTTACAGGGTTTTTCTTGTAACATTTATAAGTGCTGCTTACATCACTGAACAACAACAAAAAAAATAATAATGGAGTAGCTGTTGCCCTTCTCCGGTTGTGTGTACAGTATGTGTGGAATAAAAAAGGGAAACTGTTTTCACAAGCTGTTCTTTGTTTCATAATTGGATTCACCAATCCCGCAGCTGCCCGTGTTGCACTGAGCTCGCCGGTGGGGCTGTCTTGTCAGGAGCGTCCTGTGACACTTTGTCGGTTGTTGTTGGCAGAAGACTGAACTGTGTTGGAATATTTAACAATGACATGAGCAGAGTCGTGTTTTCCAATGTGCTTGTCCGGTTTTCATGGCCTTGCTGTGTGTTCTTGCCCTCTTTTTGGACAGTGAACTTCTGCCTACGGCTTACGGTCTGACGTTTAATTTATTAGCGCTGCTCTGCACCCCTCCCCCGGGAGGGAAGACTTCATGTTGTTTATTGCCAGTTTTTTGTTTACTTTTCAGGTTTGTACTACAAGGTTTAATAATAAAAACAAAGTTTTTTGGACACTTGTTTGTCTTGTGGAAGAGAGTGAATGAAATGAGGTGTTTTCTGATAAACGGGCTGAGGGGGTCTGTCCCACTGGCCAGGGAGTGGAGTGAACACCGAATTTTAATCTTTAATCTCACTTTCCCTCTGCTGGCAGTTACCTGGATGGCCTCTGAACAAAAACCAAACGGCTGCCGTTTGCCTCTCATTTTCTGTGGGGCCCCTGGACCCCAGCGGGCAGCGTGGCCACGAGGGTGCAGGGCCGCAGCCGCCCCTCCTCGTGCCAGCCTGCCCCTCGTCTGTGGGCTGTGAGCGAGCAGGGAGAGGGGAAAACATGTCCCTGGGGGAGCGGGGTCCCGCCAGGAGCGATGGCCGGTGGGCTTGGCTTCGGTTTCTCTCTCTTCCTCTGGGCCCGGCTGTGTGCTCTATTACGGTAGGCCGTGCTTGTTGGACTTCATAATGTTTGTAATGATCAGATGAAAACCCAAACTTGGTTAGAGCCGAGAGGAAGCACAGCTTCCTGCCTGTAGAGGGCTTCGCCGTTCAGTGCCGAGCCGGCGTGGACACCGAATTTCCTGGCCTAGCCCACACGGTGAGGCCTGCAGAACGTGTGTGTTTAGCAGCCCTTCTGTACAAACTGGCTGTGTTTGCGGTCCTCAAACTTTATTGTAGCTGTTGTTTCAGTCAGTTTCTCACACATTATTGGCAACTGTAAAAATCGAGAGCCTCCCTAAATCCACCTGCCTTCCCCGTGGGCCTCTGGGCACAGCTGTGTCATCCTCTGAAGGTGGCCAGAGCGCGGACACCCGGGTTTAGGAGTCACTGTCGTCAGTGTGTAAGGTGGCCAGGGCGGTGTCCACCTCCACTCCCTCCTCGTCAGACTGGACCACGGGGGACTCCCCCACTTCGCTGGGGTCCTGGGCAGCTGGGTCGGTGCAGGGTGCAGATGAGGACGGCCGGGTGGCCCGGGAGGCATCTGGAACCTGAAGAGTAACTTCATCCTGACCGGGGCTCGCTTCAGGCCCTGCAAAATAAAGCAGAGGCGAGCCTGTCCTAAAACTGCCCTGAAGATGGTCATTTGAACTTGCATAGAATATAAAGCGGGTGGGAGTTCTCTGTTCCTGTGACGTGCAGGCTGCAGAACCAGGCCCCATGGCAGTGCAGGAACTGCCCCCAGAAAATGCTGAGCTAGGTGACGCCCGAGGCAGCCCAGGGCCCGAGCTGACCCTTCTGCCACCTGTGACACGTGGAAAGATCCCGAACCCTTTCCAGTATCCAATAAAGCACTGTGCTCAAGGCCAAACCGCGAACACTGCATTTCTTTGAGGAGCACTCCTGGTAACCTTGATAATCTAGATTTACCTCTTTATATCCTTTGAAATAATTCAAAGAAATGGACGTTAGGAGAAAACCCCTGTGGATCCTCTTAAAGGAATCAAAACCATACACAGGTGATGGAGTCTCTTCCTGACCCTGGGAAGGGGCCGGCCTGCTCGGTGGGACAAGGGCCTCCCTCCCCGGGACGGCACTGCTCACGCAGTTCCCGGGAAGGGGAGACGACGGACGGAGCTGCTTTGTGGAGACCTTAGAGACACACGTGGACAGTAAGCCCCGGGCCTCAATTGTGAGGACGGTAGCCCATGGAGTGGGGCCACCAGCGAAGGGGCAGGTGCTGCTGAAGGGCTGGCCTTGCCTTCTTTTGTACGTGGCAGAAACTTAAACGCATTCTCTGTAATGGCGTCTGCGAAGACCACCCACCCAGAAGGAATGGTCCAAAATTTAAAATAAATTGAGTCCAGGTATAGGGCCAAAGCCTCAGTAAGTACACACCGAATGAACATGGAATTTCGGGAAGGCATTAAATGGAGGTAACGTGCCCACAGGGTTGCGCCTAATTTTTAAAACACAAGCCGAGTGCTGAACACAAACCTTGGCCTTGCCCACAGCAGAGATGAAATACCTGCCGAATGGGGAAGGGGAAGCCACACAGGAGAGCTCCCACCTCCCCCAAATTCTAGTGCTTAGCCACAAAAACCGCACTCAAAGTAACTTGTGAGCCAGAGGAGAAAGAACACACCATTTAAGAAAGCTCCCTGTTCACTGAAGGTGTCTGGGTAAAGCCCTGAGAGTCGCTGAAAAATTCACAACCAAAACAGCCAGTGTTTAATTTGTCCACTTCTGTGAGGCCAGACTGGGCGTGGAATGGGTTAGTGGGACAAGAAGATCTGTGCACGCCTTGTGCAACCGAACCGCCCTGTATCGGTTCTCCATGTGCAGGGAAGTCATGGAACTAGGTGTGACTCAGTGTGTGCAGACTTGTCACCCCTACCTGAGACAGGGGACAGCACAGCGTTCCCCTCACCACCGGAGTTCAGGAAGACATCCAGGGCCTCCTGGTCAGAGATGTCCACCAGGTCCATTTGCTCCAGCAGGTCCACATTCACTTCCATGGATGACATGCTGCCCATGGGCTCTGGGGAGACCGGCACAGGAAGAGGTTAGACCGTCTGTCATTTAATAACACTTTAAAAGGTGAGCTTCCACTGTGTTAGGCTAAAAGCACATTGTGTCTTCTAGGTGTAAAATATCTCCCGCTACTGCAGACTTTTAAAACAGACTTTGGAGCAGTGTATTATTGACATGTCCCAGTTTGGTACTTTAAATCCATCCTAGCTTAACCTGGGTTACTATTCCCTCTTACACCTGCCACAGCAGTTTTCCTTTTCACTCCCAGCCCTCTGCTCGCAGGTGCTGAAGGGAACCCTTTCTGCATCAGACAATTCTTGGCTTCGGAGGTGGGCGCTGACTCAGAGAGGCTGACATTCCTGCCAGACACCTCTGGCTGGGGTTGCCCCCAGCTTTACTACAATTCCATTTGGAGTCTTCTCTGCCCTTGTGACATTTCTCTAGTCTTCATCTTAACAGCAAAGTTTGAGCATCTGCAAGCCG